TTAAAACTTTTTACCCGGCCAGTTTCGGAGCACGTTTTTAAAAAAAAGCACTATAGGTATATTATAAACACACTTTCTGGTTTATTATCTATAGAGATTAATATTGGAATATCAAAATGTAGAATCTACTATTATTATACTGCAAAAATATTAAATATACTTGAATTTTAAGCAAATTATAAAACAATTTGAATCGTTCAATATGCAAAAATATAAAGTTATTTTTAAAAATCTAATAATAAATTAGATACTTTTATCTAGGGAATGACATAGGATTTTAGGGATATCTTAAAAAATAAAAAAAATTTCAGAATTTTGAAATTTTTTATGAGATTTTCAATAAATTCACGATGTCATTATTTAAATAATTGGCCACAATTTCAAGAATATTTAACATATTTATATTCTGGTATGTCATTCCCTAGATAACTATATATAGATTAAGCATACAATTTTCATAAAAATAAAGTAATAATAATTTAATTTATCTTGCACCAAAAACGCCAGTTTTTAGAAAAAAAAAGGATTTTGAGGAAAATGCATTTAAAGTTAAAATGCTATATTTTTCTTATTAAATCTTGATTCTCCTGCTTGCATCTTGCTCTTCCTATTGCTGCTCCTCCTGCTGCTATTCCTCCTCTTGCTTCTCCTCTTCCTGCTGCTCCACCCCCTGCTCCTCCTGTTGCTTCTCCACTCCCTGTTCCTCCCCCCTTGCTTCTCCTCTCCGCTGCTGCTCCTGCTCTTGCTGCTACATTTCCTGCTGCTCTCCCTCCTCCTCCTCCTCTGGCTGCTCCTCCTACTGCTGCTCCATTCGCTGTTCCTCCCCTTGCTGCTCCTGCTCCTGCTGCAACTCCTCTAGCTGCCGCTCTTTCTACTACTGCTCCTCCTATTGCTGCTCCCGTGCTACTATTTCCCCTGCTCCTCCTCTTCCTGCTGCTACAACCCTGGTCCTCCTCTTGCTGCTAATCTCCCTACTCCTGCTGTTGCTGTTCCTCTTCCTGCTGCTGCTCTTCTCCCCTGCTGCTCCTCCTCTTGTAGCTCCTCTCCCTGCTCCTCCTCCTTTTGGTGTTCCTCTCTTGCTACTCCTCTTCCTGCTGCTCTTTCCCGTGCTGCTCCTCATCTTCCTGCTCCTGTTCCTGCTGCTCATCCTCTTGCTGCCCCTCTCCCTGTTCCTTTTCTTGCTTCTCCTCTCCCTGTTCACCTTATTGCTGCTTTTGCTCTTGTTGCACCTCCCCCCCTGCTGCTCCTCCTCCTCTTGCTCTTCCTCCTGGTCTTCCTTCTGGCCCTCATCTTGCTGCTCCTCGTCCTTATAGGCATACATTTCAAATAACTAAAGTATTTGCAAAAATTTAAATGGATTCGCGCACCCCATAAACGTTCTTTGGGAACCGCCAGTTTCAGACAACTGGATTAGAGTACCACGAATTGGAAACTCAGTTTCATCAAGCATGTATGTTTGTTCCGAGCACTTCACTCCTGATCATTATAACTTGCCAGTCGTTAGTATATTTCATATTTTCTACTTACTATTGTAATACCTCCATTTTTAATTTAATAGTTTATAAGTGTTTTCGGTCTGAAGGTAATAAGGGCATATTGTGTTAATAATTTTCCTTGTTAATAACTTTTTGCAAGTTTCGAAAAGGATACCGTCAAGTAAGGCTTTACTCCGTGAAAAAGTATACTCGAGATCTGTGTATAGAGGTCAATACTTAAAAATACAAGAAGTACAGTAAAATAAGATTTTAAGCAGCATTTTCTCTGTTTTCTCTGAAATCGGCAACTTCCGCTCTCCCCAATATGTTATCGCTCCATATACGAATTAACATAGTTTACACAACTCTCAGTTCAGATCGTTTTCAACTTCGCAAATGCAATTCAGGTACCATCTAGCAATAATTGCAATCGCCAAAATTCCATAGGACCCAGGGCCGCCGCGTAGGTGGGGCAAAATTGTTCACCAAAATTTATTCTCATCACAAGAAATAAATTACAATGCTGGATTTTTCCTCTTAGATATGCGTACAATATCACAGTATCATACAATATCACGCAGTAGTTACATTTTAAACTACTAAAACTTTAAATAAAACGCAATCCAAAGGTCAGAGAAAGATCTCACGGCAAATTCACTACGGTCAACAAAACAGTAAAGTAATCAACTGAACTGAGATATTTCTCTCCGGCGTATTAAAACTTTTTTACCCGGCCAGTTTCGGAGCACGTTTTTTTAAAAACAGCACTATAGGTATATTATAAACACATTTTCTGGTTTATTATCTATAGAGATTAATATTGGAATATCAAAATGTAGAATCTACTATTATTATACTGCAAAAATATTAAATATACTTGAATTTTAAGCAAATTATAAAACAATTTGAATCGTTCAATATGCAAAAATATAAAGTTATTTTTAAAAATCTAATAATAAATTAGATACTTTTATGTAGGGAATGACATAGGATTTTAGGGATATCTTAAAAAATAAAAAAAATTTCAGAATTTTGAAATTTTTTATGAGATTTTCAATAAATTCACGATGTCATTATTTAAATGATTGGCCACAATTTCAAGAATATTTAACATATTTATATTCTGGTATGTCATTCCCTAGATAACTATATATAGATTAAGCATACAATTTTCATAAAAATAAAGTAATAATAATTTAATTTATCTTGCACCAAAAAAGCCAGTTTTTAGAAAAAAAAAAGGATTTTGAGGAAAATGCATTTAAAGTTAAAATGCTATATTTTTTTATTAAATCTTGATTCTCCTGCTTGCATCTTGCTCTTCCTATTGCTGCTCCTCCTGCTGCTATTCCTCCTCTTGCTTCTCCTCTTCCTGCTGCTCCACCCCCTGCTCCTCCTGTTGCTTCTCCACTCCCTGTTCCTCCCCTTGCTTCTCCTCTCCGCTGCTGCTCCTGCTCTTGCTGCTACATTTCCTGCTGCTCTCCCTCCTCCTCCTCCTCCTCTGGCTGCTCCTCCTACTGCTGCTCCATTCGCTGTTCCTCCCCTTGCTGCTCCTGCTCCTGCTGCAACTCCTCTAGCTGCCGCTCTTTCTACTGCTCCTCCTATTGCTGCTCCCGTGCTACTATTTCCCCTGCTCCTCCTCTTCCTGCTGCTACAACCCTGGTCCTCCTCTTGCTGCTAATCTCCCTACTCCTGCTGTTGCTGTTCCTCTTCCTGCTGCTCTTCTCCCCCTGCTGCTCCTCCTCTTGTAGCTCCTCTCCCTGCTCCTCCTTTTGGTGTTCCTCTCTTGCTACTCCTCTTCCTGCTGCTCTTCTCCCCTGCTGCTCCTCATCTTCCTGCTCCTGTTCCAGCTGCTCCTCTTGCTGCCCCTCTCCCTGTTCCTTTTCTTGCTTCTCTCCTCTCCCTGTTCACCTTATTGCTGCTTTTGCTCTTGTTGCACCTCCCCTGCTGCTCCTCATACTCTTGCTCTTCCTCCTAGTCTTCCTTCTGGCCCTCATCTTGCTGCTCCTCGTCCTTATAGGCATACATTTCAAATAACTAAAGTATTTGCAAAAATTTAAATGGTTTCGCGCACCCCATAAACGTTCTTTGGGAACCGCCAGTTTCAGACAACTGGATTAGAGTACCACGAATTGGAAACTCAGTTTCATCAAGCATGTATGTTTGTTCCGAGCACTTCACTCCTGATCATTATAACTTGCCAGTCGTTAGTATATTTCATATTTTCTACTTACTATTGTAATACCTCCTCCATTTTTAATTTAATAGTTTATAAGTGTTTTCGGTCTGAAGGTAATAAGGGCATATTGTGTTAATAATTTTCCTTGTTAATAACTTTTTGCAAGTTTCGAAAAGGATACCGTCAAGTAAGGCTTTACTCCGTGAAAAAGTATACTCGAGATCTGTGTATAGAGGTCAATACTTAAAAATACAAGAAGTACAGTAAAATAAGATTTTAAGCAGCATTTTCTCTGTTTTCTGAAATCGGCAACTTCCGCTCTCCCCAATATGTTATCGCTCCATATACGAATTAACATAGTTTACACAACTCTCAGTTCAGATCGTTTTCAACTTCGCAAATGCAATTCAGGTACCATCTAGCAATAATTGCAATCGCCAAAATTCCATAGGACCCAGGGCCGCCGCGTAGGTGGGGCAAAATTGTTCACCAAAATTTATTCTCATCACAAGAAATAAATTACAATGCTGGATTTTCCCTCTTAGATATGCGTACAATATCACAGTATCATACAATATCACGCAGTAGTTACATTTTAAACTACTAAAACTTTAAATAAAACGCAATCCAAAGCTCAGAGAAAGATCTCACGGCAAATTCACTACGGTCAACAAAACAGTAAAGTAATCAACTGAACTGAGATATTTCTCTCCGGCGTATTAAAACTTTTTTTACCCGGCCAGTTTCGGAGCACGTTTTTTAAAAAACAGCACTATAGGTATATTATAAACACATTTTCTGGTTTATTATCTATAGAGATTAATATTGGAATATCAAAATGTAGAATCTACTATTATTATACTGCAAAAATATTAAATATACTTGAATTTTAAGCAAATTATAAAACAATTTGAATCGTTCAATATGCAAAAATATAAAGTTATTTTTAAAAATCTAATAATAAATTAGATACTTTTATCTAGGGAATGACATAGGATTTTAGGGATATCTTAAAAAATAAAAAAAATTTCAGAATTTTGAAATTTTTTATGAGATTTTCAATAAATTCACGATGTCATTATTTAAATAATGATTGGCCACAATTTCAAGAATATTTAACATATTTATATTCTGGTATGTCATTCCCTAGATAACTATATATAGATTAAGCATACAATTTTCATAAAAATAAGTAATAATAATTTTAATTTATCTTGCACCAAAAACGCCAGTTTTTAGAAAAAAAAAGGATTTTGAGGAAAATGCATTTAAAGTTAAAATGCTATATTTTTCTTATTAAATCTTGATTCTCCTGCTTGCATCTTGCTCTTCCTATTGCTGCTCCTCCTGCTGCTATTCCTCCTCTTCTTGCTTCTCCTCTTCCTGCTGCTCCACCCCCTGCTCCTCCTCCTGTTGCTTCTCCACTCCCTGTTCCTCCCCTTGCTTCTCCTCTCCGCTGCTGCTCCTGCTCTTGCTGCTACATTTCCTGCTGCTCTCCCTCCTCCTCCTCCTCTGGCTGCTCCTCCTACTGCTGCTCCATTCGCTGTTCCTCCCCTTGCTGCTCCTGCTCCTGCTGCAACTCCTCTAGCTGCCGCTCTTTCTACTGCTCCTCCTATTGCTGCTCCCGTGCTACTATTTCCCCTGCTCCTCCTCTTCCTGCTGCTACAACCCTGGTCCTCCTCTTGCTGCTAATCTCCCTACTCCTGCTGTTGCTGTTCCTCTTCCTGCTTCCTGCTGCTCTTCTCCCCTGCTGCTCCTCCTCTTGTAGCTCCTCTCCCCCTGCTCCTCCTTTTGGTGTTCCTCTCTTGCTACTCCTCTTCCTGCCTGCTGCTCCTGCTGCTCCTCTGCTGCCTCTCTGTTCTGCTCTCCTCTTGCTTCACCTTATTGCTGCTTTTGCTCTTGTTGCACCTCCCCTGATACGCTCTTCCTCCTAGTCTTCCTTCTGGCCCTCATCTTGCTGCTCCTCGTCCTTATAGGCATACATTTCAAATAACTAAAGTATTTGCAAAAATTTAAATGGTTTCGCGCACCCCATAAACGTTCTTTGGGAACCGCCAGTTTCAGACAACTGGATTAGAGTACCACGAATTGGAAACTCAGTTTCATCAAGCATGTATGTTTGTTCCGAGCACTTCACTCCTGATCATTATAACTTGCCAGTCGTTAGTATATTTCATATTTTCTACTTACTATTGTAATACCTCCATTTTTAATTTAATAGTTTATAAGTGTTTTCGGTCTGAAGGTAATAAGGGCATATTGTGTTAATAATTTTCCTTGTTAATAACTTTTTGCAAGTTTCGAAAAGGATACCGTCAAGTAAGGCTTTACTCCGTGAAAAAGTATACTCGAGATCTGTGTATAGAGGTCAATACTTAAAAATACAAGAAGTACAGTAAAATAAGATTTTAAGCAGCATTTTCTCTCTTTTCTGAAATCGGCAACTTCCGCTCTCCCCAATATGTTATCGCTCCATATACGAATTAACATAGTTTACACAACTCTCAGTTCAGATCGTTTTCAACTTCGCAAATGCAATTCAGGTACCATCTAGCAATAATTGCAATCGCCAAAATTCCATAGGACCCAGGGCCGCCGCGTAGGTGGGGCAAAATTGTTCACCAAAATTTATTCTCATCACAAGAAATAAATTACAATGCTGGATTT